TAAATGGGTTTGGCAGATTATTGACCTATGCAGGGAGTCTTCAGCTCATAAGGTCTGTGTTGTTCAGCATAACAAGCTTCTGGTGCTACCAGCCTCTTATTCTCATAATTGCGATTAAGAGGATAAATCGATGTGTATGACATATTTTTGGAAGGGCTGGGATACTAGTGTTGTGAGGGATATGGTGGGTTGGCAAACAATTTGCTTGTTAAAGGTTGAGGTGGTTTAGGTTTAAAGGATCTGCATTGTTGGAATAAAGTTGTGTGATGCAGCTTATAAAGGCTTTGCTTGCTCAAGATGGTTCCCTTTGGGTAGCCTGAGTGAGCTCTAATGTGCTAAAGGGGATTGGTTTCTGGCAGGCTTCATGTAACAGTAATGCTAGCTAGAGTCTTATAAAGCTCTTCAAGATGAGGGAGGAGGATGCTCCTATTTTTACTTCTGCTTCTAATATCCAACAGGTGGCAACTACTTGGTTGTGGGGGGACCATGATGAATCTTCCTTATATGCTCTGAGAGAAAGTAATTTGATTTCCTTTACATGTTCCTAAGCACTCGATCATTGCATGGTTAGCCATTCTGGATAGGCTTAGCACAAGGGATAGGCTTTTGAAAATGAATATTGTTGTTATTCCTATATTTATGAACTGTAATGTAGTTTTGAAAACTATAGATCATTTTTTTTTTGTCCTTGTTCTTGTTCTTTTTCTTAGGGTGTTTGGAGGGAGGTTTTATGGTTATGTGGATACTAGAGAATCGAGGTGATATGTATGAAGCAGCTTCCAATGTTGAATTGTTTTGATATTGTTTAAAACAAAAAAATAAAGAAAAAAGGTTTATCAAATTAAAAGAAAAGAAACAAATATTTGAAAGAAAAATAAAACAAGGTAAAATTTTGAAAAGAAATCGGATAAATAAAAATAGCCTCAAGCTTCACTTTGCCTCAATTTCAATTGATCATCGATATATATTTTACTTCGAGAAACATGTCGGTTACAGTCTACAAGGCCCAACCCTTTTAACTTACATTTCTCTCCGGTAAGTTGATATCCCCAAGTATATCTTTGGAATTCAATCCTTGTTTGGAGTAACCATTACTATCGTCGTTAGCACTAATACAACTTTAAGCGCTGAAAAATCTGATTAGGGTTATGGTGTCTCAATGAGAATCAAACCTAATCTCGATTCACCTTAGTGGATCGCTGCTAAGTTTGTTCATAGGAAATCGAATTACAACCAACTGATTCTTCCTCCCAATGGTAAATCAGAATACCCTTCATATCAAAACGTCTTTTTGAAGTGAGAGTGTTAAGATTATTAAAGAGATGGTCGTTTTCCAAATCAAGTTTTCAGAAAATTAAGAATGTCATCCGAAGATGTTAAGTACTTTTCAATTCTCACAAACGAAATTGAGTTATCACTAAGCCTTTTGGGTAAATGGAAATTTAGTTAAGCATGATAGAAATCATACTTAGCATTTTTTAAAAGTAAATAAAAGAAAAACTAAAGTAAAAACAAAGATGTAAGAAAAGAAAACTTTTATAAAAACAACCTCAAAGAACAAAATCAAATTCAGTACATCTTCAAGCTTCACCCCAAAGGGGTATTTACAAACTAAAGAATACAAGAGATAAACTCCCTAAAAATAAAATAAAATATTTAAAATAAAATAGAATATCCTAATAACAAATTAAAATATTTTTCCAAAGTATTTATCTTGAAAATTCAATCTTAAAATCCAAAAGTAATTTCGCCCATCCTCTTTCCAAAAAAACGCTGATTGGACCTTTTAGAAACTGTTGCTACTGATTCGATCATCAGATTCTGCCATGTTGGATTGCATCGCGTCCATGTCGTGCCCATATCTCCAGCCACGATTCCAGAAATAAAAAAATACAGAATTCACCATCTTTACTACTGATTCTGGAAAATAAGTTACTGCACGAAAATAAGCAAAATAGAACCAAATTAGTAACATCAAATAAACAGAGAGGACTAATTGTTAACAAAATAAATACAAATTTGATCACTTATCAAGGAGGGATGTACTGGACTAGGATCAGGAGATTTCTTGGGCTGTCTCTCGGTTGGAGGGGAAATCTTTGTTGGATTTTATTTTGAAGCTAGATTGGTGTGCTCATATTTACTGTTTTTGGGAAGAAAGAAATTTTCGTTAATGGGGGTAAAACTCAGGCTGAGAGTGAGGTTGTGGATGATTTTAAACAGATTGTAGTGTGAATATTGGGGGTAGACAATATAATAGTTTGGATAGCATTAATGTTCGACTTTGTACAACTTGAGGTATCTCCTGATTTTTTTATTAGTGACCCCATTTTACTTTTTATACTTGTAGTAAGTTTTCTGCTTCTTAGATGAATATAATTGAAACTTATCCAAAATAAAATCAATATCTTAAACCCATGATAATACTTTATCATTAATTAATCATATACAGACTTTAATGTATTATTTTGGTCCTAACCTACATTAATACTCGATATTGACATTATCTACAGGTCGTCCAGACTGCATAAAGGGAGAAGTTGTTGCTAAATGTGTATGACTTTCATTCACTTATTTTGGATAAGTTATTAAATATAGTTCAATATATTAAGGGAAGGAGAAGAAAATAAGAAATTTTGCATATCCATTTTGTTGGAAAAAAGAGTATTAAAATTTTTAAATTTTTAGATCTGTCACGCCTACAAATCGACTTTGCTTTTAAAAAAGTATAGCGAAGGAGGTCGCCTACATTAGAGGACAACTTTCTCAAAGACGCATGCATTAATTGACGACTTTCACTAATTCGACAACATTAGCTAATAACTGCATCATGCGTTGTAGAAACAACGTTAATTCCCTAAATAATATAAGGCCATCTCCAGCCCTCATCTCTACTCTAGCGCATCTCTATCTCTACTCTAGAGATGAAACAGTAATTCATCTCTAGCGTTATCTCTACATTACCACTAATTTTACTTTATTCACAATATTTAACTATTATAATATTAATTTTACAAATATAAAAAAATCAGAAAATACAAAAAAAATACAAAAAAAATTAGTATGATTATTTATCTAATTTCAATATATTTTTATCTATCTTGTAATTTAATATAATCTAATTAAAAAAAACCTAAATCTAGCGCGAGCTACAGTACCACGCTAGATGTGGCGCGACACTGTAGCAATACTCTACACTAGAGATGGATGTGGTGCAGGGCTGGAGCGCGCTACAGTGGAAATATATCCACTGTAGTGCAACATTGGAGTTGCCCTAAGCCAACATCCCCATTCCCACCCCACCCAAAAAAAAAGTTAACCTTGACATTTGTTACTTTTGCCTTCTAAAAATTAATATAGTTTTAGATCAATTTGACTTTATTGTTTAAAAATATTAAAAAAATATCATAATAAACTTTGGTACTAATTAAATGATCAAATAAGATATTATCTATTTAATTAATATGTTATGTCATCACCTTAATGGTAGATAATAAAAGGTTTATGATCGTTTTATAATATTTGAAAGTTCACTTGTTAAAATGACAAATATTCATAATTTAGGGGTTATTTGTATACTCTACCCAAATTGAGAAGGGTTTGGGGGCATGGAATCAAGTGAAGTTATACAACTTACAAGAAAAATATTCCATAGTATTTTCAGTATCTCTTTCTTAAAAGAATCTCTTCCCCATAAAAAGTCCTAAAAAGCAATGAACAAAATTATTATTAAAATCATTGAATCATAACATGAAAGGAGAGAAGATATCTTAAACCCCATTTGTTGTTGGAAAGATGAAAAGGTAAAAAAAGTAAAGTGGAGAGTTTGGAGTTTAGCCGAGGTTATTTTCTTGGGGTAAGAAAACCAAACCAAATGGGGGATGAAACCAAAGTTACTTTTTGACTGTGAAAGACTTGAAAACATTCAGAGTAAAAAAAAGTAAAAAATAATGATAACAAATTCATTAAAATAAAGGTTGAAAACAGGGAATGTACGCTTTGCAGTAGCAGCAGCATGCTATGCCTACGCTACTTTACCATATTTTGTTTCACAGCTTTTCTTGCACTATAAAGCAATAAAGCAAACTACCTCTCATGCATGACTATATTATGCATTATATTTAATAATTAATTTGTTGATTAATTTTGATTTTAATGTGGATCATTATATATTCAGTATTTGTCGGTGTGAGAAATAGGATAGTTATGGTATTTGACCATTTGTCTATTTTTTTATTTAAGCAAAAAATTGTAGATAATAATTTTATGAAAGATGTAAAGAATAGATGATCTAAAAAATATGATAAATAGTGAGATAGAGTTCTCTTGATCAATTTTGCATAGTGATTTATACACGAACATTTGGTGTTAATTTCATACGTAAGGTAATGGTGGTTATTTATAAATTAATAGATTGAGTAGACTGACTGTCATTTTACATGGTGATTTGTACACATGTCTTTAGTATTAGTGTCAGACTTAGAGTGATGATAATTATTTGTAGATTGGTAGGGTGTGTAGACCTAATTGATATATAATATATTTAACATGTGATGAGATTGGCAACAATTAGATCAAGAAAATATAATGGTTCAAAATATATAAAACTTCAAAAAGTTTAATAGATATAGAAGTAACAACGAAAATACAATTTGCGGTAGAAATATAATAATATCAAATTGATTATATATATATATATATCATGCTTGTAGAAATGATAAATTAAGGTATTGGATGTGCAAGATCAACAAATATAGGTACCAATAAAAAAAAGGAAAATATAACATTTGTAAGAAAATAGCTAAAAGAAGAGGTGTGAAGTGTGAAAAAGCTACATATGTATTCTACTTCGTGTGGAAGTAGATTTGGATGTGTGGAATTAGTTAATTTCATGTGTGAGCTGGATCCATGAATATATCACTAACCCACTTTAAAACAGATAATAAAAAAATAATTCATAAAACACAGAAATTGAGCTTCAAGGCAAGACAACTTCAATCTTACAAAAACTTTATATAAATTCTCTTCTAATAAAGCCAAAATCACCCTCCTCTCCTCAAATTCTTTAGCTTTAAACTTTGGGTTCTTTCAGATTCCATCTGGGTATCAATCAAAGTATCAATCTATATTCCCTTTTATTGCTTAGTTCAAGTCTAAGGATGTGAAAGGCAGCATCTTTATGCCAAAAAAAGGTTGTCTGTTTTATCTTTGTTTTCTTGGTTTTGGGTCAATTTTTTTAATAGATGAATTTCAGTTGTGGGAGAGGAGCCATGTCAATTACTAGCTCAAGTGCTGCTTGGAAACCAGCAGATGCTGTTGCTGATCAGTTCCCTGCTGGTTTGCGTGTTCTTGTGGTTGATGATGATCCAACTTGTCTAATGATACTGGAAAAGATGCTAAGAACATGCCTTTATGAAGGTACTTTTACACGAAATTTTTATATTTCTTTCTTGGGTTTTCTTAGTTTTAGTTTTAGTTTTTTATAGGGTTTTCTTTTTCTTGTTTATGTTGATTTTGTTTGTGGGTCATAGTGGAAAAAATGGGAAAACAATGATCTTTCCTTTGTTAGATTTGGGAGCAGTTAGGGTTTATAACTTTGATCTTAGATTTAACTTTGAAGGCCTGATTTGTTTTGTGTTTGTGCATATGTAGTTTGGGGATTTGTTTTCCCCCTTCCTTGTGGATACTTCAGAGGTTGATGTTCATTGTTATTTTGATGGATGATTGGTTGATTTGTGATTTGTTTTCTCAGTTACCAAATGCAATCGAGCGGAGACTGCGTTGTCGATACTCCGAGAGAACAAAAATGGGTTTGATGTCGTCATCAGTGATGTTCACATGCCGGACATGGATGGATTCAAGCTTCTTGAGCATATTGGTTTGGAGATGGACCTCCCTGTAATCAGTAAGCATTATATTTTCATAAATGCTTAATTACCATGAGTTTGACAATTTATGTGGTTCTGTGGGTACTTTTATGGCCTAATTTGACTTTTACTTCTGCAGTGATGTCGGCAGACGACGGGAAACATGTTGTTATGAAGGGTGTTACGCATGGTGCTTGTGATTACCTAATCAAGCCGGTTCGTATCGAGGCTCTGAAGAACATATGGCAGCACGTCGTTAGGAAGAGGAAGAATGAATGGAAGGAGTTTGAGCAATCAGGAAGTGTAGAAGAAGGGGATAGGCAGCTGAAACAATCTGAAGATGCAGATTACTCATCTTCGGCTAATGAAGGGAACTGGAGAGGCTCGAAAAAGAGAAAAGATGATGAAGAGGAAACCGACGAGAGGGATGATACTTCCACCCTGAAAAAACCAAGGGTTGTGTGGTCTGTTGAGCTCCATCAGCAATTTGTAGCAGCAGTTAATCAACTAGGCATTGACAGTATGAGTCTTTTGCTCATTTCTTCCGATTTGCTGATGTTCTCTCGCTTAAAAATATATTTAATCATAATAGCGTATGAATTTTAGAAATAGTCCGTTTTTTTCTGAAACCACGGGCAAAGTGTTGTTAGCTGTTGGTTGTTACTTTACTTTCCTTCTTTGACGTTTCTAGCAAATGAATTGTATCACACACTTGCTAGCAAATAGTCCGTTAGTTGTATTCAGCAATTATTTGTTCCTTTTTGTTGTTATCTGTTTCGTTGTTCGTATAAGTTCATGCTTTTGGATCGAATTTTATCACACACTTACTATCGCCAAATGAATTAAATATTTATCATTTAGATATTCTTCCTTTCATAATCATTTCATTTACCATTGAAAGGTGTTCATCTTCTTGTACTGTTTCTCTCATATTAAAGTGCTTGTTTGAATTTCTTATACAGAGGCTGTCCCAAAGAAAATTTTGGAGATGATGAATGTTCCAGGCCTTACCAGAGAAAATGTCGCCAGTCACCTTCAGGTTTGTATGCGGTCTCTAAATACACAATCTTTTCACTATCCTGCATTTGCTTCTAATAAATTGTTCTCTGAATATCTTTGATCCTTGGATGAATAATATCCATGTTATCATGCATGATCAGAAATATCGCTTGTATCTAAGACGACTGAGTGGAGTATCGCAGCACCAGAGTAATTTGAATCCTCCTTTTATCAGCCCCCAAGGTGCAACATTTGGGCCGCTCTCTTCACTCAATGGACTTGACCTTCAAGCTCTTGCTGCCACCGGTCAACTTCCTACGCAAAGTCTTGCCAGACTCCAAGCAGCGGGGCTTGGTCGTCCGACTGCTAAATCCAGCATACCTATGACCCTTGTTGATCAAAGAAACACCTTTAGCTTTGAAAACCCAAAGTTAAGATTCGGAGGACAACAACAACAACATATGAATAATAAGCAGCAAATAAATTTACTTCATGGAATTCCTACAAATATGGAGCCGAAGCAGCTTGACAACTTGCAGCACAGTGGACAATCAATCGGAAACATGAATATGCAAGTTGCTTCCCATGGGGCGCAAAATAACCAAAATAATTCTTTATTGATGCAGATGGGGCAGCCGCAGTCAAGAGGGCAGGTACTCGGTGATACGACCGTTAGTCAGTCTCCCGGGCATCCGTCATCCATGGGACAGCCTATATTGTCTAATGGAATGGCTGCTAATTTTGCTTCAAGAAATGGAATTCCTGAAAATATTGGGGGCCCTAGTTACAATACGGTTTCACAGGCCTCTTCGACGTTGAATTTACCATTGAATTTCCCAATGAATCACGCTTCAGAACTACCTGGTAATAGTTTCCCGCTCGAAAGCACCCCTGGGATTTCTAGTTTTTCATCAAAAGGGGTTTTTCAAGATGTTAGCTCGGAAATTAAAGGATCCGTCGGATTCATGCTCGGTTACGATATATTTAATGATTTGAATCAACATAAAACCCAAAGTTGGGAGCTACAGAATGTTGGCATGACATTCGATGCCCCTCAACATTCAAGCTCTCTTCAAGACGACCTTCACATTATGCAATCTGTTTCAGTTCAACAAGGATCTACCGTCCAAATGAACGGACATAACAGGAGTGCAGCCATTGCAAGCAAGGCAATGTTCTCTGCCGGAGATATTAAGGAGCATGGGAATGCACAAAACGTTAACCAACATCTCAACAACCTTGTTGACAATGCAAGAAGGGTCAAATCCGAGAGAATTTACGATACCAGTCCCGCCAATCTATTCCCTGATCATTTCGGACAGGAAGATCTCATGAGTGCTCTTCTCAAACAGGTTTGGTTTATCACTTTATCTTCATAATATCTGTTTAAGATGGTACTCACTTCCATGAATCAATGAGTATATATATGTTTCACTTATTCTTTGGCAGCAAGACGGCATTGGACCGACTGAAAACGAATTTGATTTCGACGGGTATTCCATTGATAATATTCCGGTGTAGGGGTTCTTCCGTACTACATTTCTCCTAGTGATTGCAGTTTCCAATGTACATATTCGTTGCAGGTGAAAGACCCCTTCAGCAGGAACTCGAGTTAGTTGTTTCTTTCGAAGAAATCAAGGTTTGCTCAGTTTCTGTCGGGTTTGTTTTGAACCTACCAGAATCGGATGATTGGTGAAGTGGGTAAAAATACTGGGTGCATGAAATGCAAAGGTGTTCATGCGAAATTTTGATTGTTTTGGTGTAGCGAAATCTGGGAAGATGGACTAATTTTGTTCAGCAATTGGAGCCACTGTTCCTTCATCAGCAGCGCTGGGGGGACTTTAATAACGGATTAAGTTTGCTCCTTTTTGTTCGTATTATTGTTAACGATATGATCTTTCTGATGTATATTATATACAGATTCAGGATGGATAAATAATTGATTTCAACGACACTACAATTTATTTTCAACCATTGTATACCTCCACTGCAAATCATCCTTTTTTGCATTTAGTATCATGTATGTAAAACCAGTCTGAGTCCCTTCACCAACCGGACCATCACTGTGGGTCATTCTTTGTCGTGGCTGTAATACCACCATGTCTAAATATGAGCTTGTTTAAAGGAATTAAAAAAAAATCTCACAAAACCGTATCCTTTTCTTTGAAAATGATAAAACCCAGATCACATAGCATGCATAGCCGATAGCCTCTCCATGAACATCCATCAATTAAAAGCAACACTAACCGGGGACAGCAAGCTCAGTAGAACTCTTATTTAGCATTGGTGGTATTACGGCCTCTCTTTAGGAATAGTCTCTGATGATGAGTGGGTAGACGTTAGGTGGTGATGGTGGTGGTTGCCCACGATGGGTAAGGAATTACAGATTTTTAGGGTTTTTTATAACAAAAAAATAGTTTTTTATTTTAATTTATGAAATTTATTTTTTAAAGTTTTAAAAAAATTAAAATTAAGTCACGTGTCAAACATTAATTAGTTGACTAGCTTTTATATAACGGACCATACCCTTAAATAGTAACGTTGCTAACCTTACATATCTATATTGACCGAAAATTTTTAAAAATAAAAAGTATATATAATTTAAGCATTTTTTATATTAAGTCTAAACAATGATAGAATCATTTGCTCGACTTATTTTCTAATTTTTTAACCTCTTTAATTTTGTTATTTATTTTTAAACTTAAATGTATCATTGTCTTTAAACTATGCAGTTTGTACTACGTGGCGAAGTATTTTTCAAAACATTTTATCTTTAAAATTTGAGTTATTATTTTGTTTGTTCCAAATTATTAACTTTATTTAAAAAAGAGCAAATTATATATTTAGCCACTCAATAATTTTAGTTTGGTCACTCAACTATTTTTTTAAAAATCATCATTAAACGTAAGTTTTTATTTCGTTTCGGTCACGTAATTTGATCCATTCATTAAAAAGAGTAAAGGTGGAGGTTTGTTAGTGTTTAACTCAAATTTAAAGTGACACAAATTAATTAAATTAATTGGAGAAAGTAAAAAAAAAACCTAATTTGAGTAGAAGTGGAAACTTTATTTTTTTTTCTTTTATATAGAAAATCTACTTTAAGTAGATTTATGCTTTATAAGTTTTCTTTGCAATCAATTATTCATCCCTAGGGTCTATGATACATAAAGATGGGGTGTAGATGATGATGTAACACACCGTATAAAGGCGGGATGGCTAAAGTGGAGGGCTGCTACTGGAGTTTTGTGTGACAAGAAGGTGCCTCTAAAACTTAAGGGGAAATTTTATAGAATGGCAATAAGACCAGCGTTGTTGTATGGATCAGAATATTGGGCAACCAAGAAGGATCATGTAAGGAGGATAGAGGCTGCAGAAATGAGAATGCTTCGATTGACATGCGGTAGGACTCTGTGGGATATGACAACAAACTCTACTATTAGGATGTCCTTGGGGTGGTGCTTATTTCTGAAAAATTGAGGGAGGAAAGACTACGGTGGTTTGGGCATGTCCTTAGACGACTACCGTCGGATGCGGTCAGGAGGGTAGAGTCGATTACAGTCGACGGTGCCAGAAGGAGAGAACGACCAAGGCGGAAGTGGGAAGACTGCTTGAGATCTGATTTGATGTATTTAGCCCTTACCGAGGACATGACCTCTGATAGGAAATATGGAGACTAAAGACTAGGGTAGTCGAGTAGTGTGGGTCACATCTCTAGGGTGTATCATCTCTGTCTTCTTTTAATGCCTTTGTAGTAATTTCCATAAATTCTACTTTTTATACATTTCTGGTACTGGTATTTATGAACGCTTAGAACTGGGCTTGCTATCGTGGACTTCTCTGTAATATTCTCTTCACTTTTAAATTTAGTCGGGTCTTACGTTTCTGTCTATATGCAGAGATTTTTTCGCAAGGATTTATTTGCAGGGATTACTTCCCATTTCAAACGTGCATATAATATTAATGATATTTATGACTGCATATAAATACTGTTCAACTATGTATTTATGTATTTATTTATACATGCTTTGCATTTTATCTATATTTTTAATTTTTGACTGCCGGAGGTCTTCCACGGAAGCTACTCTCAACCTGGCGTTGGGGGCAGCCTACTACCCTACCTCCCCCTTACCCCATTGCATATGGGAATTGGGTTTTGTTGTTGTTGTTGTTGTTGTATAAATAGATATTAAGGAGACGTTTGGTTCACGGAATGTAAGATTACCTTTGGGAATAACATTACTAGAATGTAAGCTTACTATGAGAATGTTGTATTATCTTGTTTGTTTTGTTTAGCAGGAATGTAAAAAATTGTGTTTGGTTAGAGGAATATAAGATTATTTGAATACATATTTTACCAAATTATCCTTGTGATATAATTTTTTAAATATATAAACTTTAATATTAAATTATAAATATTTGAATGAAAATTCATAGAAATATTTTAATCGTTAAATTATCTAACTTTTGAGAAAAAATACATTTAATATATAATTAGTATATTAAACTTCTATTTTTAAATAATTTTCATAAGTATCATATTTATTTATATAAAATTTAATATCACATTAAAAAAATAATATTACGATCTGGAGTGTTCAAAGATATTATTTTTCAATGTATAAGATTTATTTTTAATAACTTAAAGTTAGATACTATTTTAAATAATTACATTTTTACAATCATATTACTTTTCACCTCATAAAATTATAAATAATTAATATATTGAATATTAATAATATAAAATAATTTTAAATATTCAAATTTATTAATATTTTACTAAATTAAACTATTTATATATTATTATTATATTTATAATTTTTAGTAAAGTAAAAAAATAAGAATTGAAAAGGATTATTATAAAAAAGAATTCATTATTTTAGGGTATTTTTGTCCAAAGTGATAAGAATTGTCTAATACCTAAGAATTTGAAGGTAATGACATTCCCTTCATTTTAATAAAAAATGTTGTTATTGGGAAAAGATTATTCCCAGGGAATAATTTGTTTCGTGAACCAAACGTAGGGATACTATTCCGAAAAAAATTATTTCCCTTGATAATATTCTTTTCCGCGAACCAAAAGCCCCCTAAGAGTAAGGGTTAAATATCAAATTTTTCTTTCTCCAAAATCATCTTGTATTTTTTCCATTAATATTAGTAAAATTATTCTCCTCTTCTCGTAATTTTTTCCTTTTAAGTTTTTCGATAATTGTTCCAATATTATAATATTATCCAACCTTGATTCAAATAATAAATAGTTCCGAATAGAATATTAAGCCTTGGGTTAACATAATCTCAGCTTGGATTTTCTCTCTCTATAATCTCAAAGGATTCATCAATGACTATCAAAGGAAAATTGAGGAAGATGAAGGCTCTTCTTTTTTTTTTTTTGGGAAAATAAGACTAAAAAATTCCTTTTATTCCTTTACACCTTCTTTACTAATTATAACATTAGTAATAAAATTCGGCTTAAAAAATTATGACACACTAACACCTCTGGCACCAAATGTCCATAAAAAAAATCCACTAACTTCAAAATAACCATGCATATTTACAACTGTTGCTCCATTTACAAAGTGGTCCTTGAACTACAAATTTCACTATTTTATTTTCAATTTGATTCTAAATCGAATTAACATTCAATCCAATGAATTTAATTGAATTACACACATTTTTAATGATTAGAATAAATGTTTTATTCTTTAAAAAAATGTTTTCCGGTCATCAAATTAAAAAAATATTCAAAAAATAAAGATATTACATGCTTAAATATTTAAAGATTAGTTCAAAATGTGACAAAGATTGTATTTAGTGAATAATTTTGTAGCATTTTATATATTTATCTGAGAACAAATATTTTATAATAAGTATTGATTGTGTAATTTATTATGATTTATAAAACAATATATAACTGATTATATTTTATTAGGAGAGTTCAAGGAAAAACATAAATGCGAAGTGAACTCTGTTAAGGGAGAGTTTGTTACATAAGATGACCAAACAAAATCTAACGTTATAAGGTTTTACTAAGTTTATATAGACATAAAAAATAGTTTTTTCTATAATAATTTTAAATATTAAATCTTTGACCATAGTCCAAATTCGCATAAATATAGGATTTTCAACAACAACAAAATAAAACATGTTAAAAAAACAACAAAACCTAATTTGAGTTGAAACATGTGGCTGAATTAAAAAGGACCCCAGTCCAGTCCATAAATGTCATTCCATCTTAAATACTGTAACAAAGTTGATGTAATTTATGTGGCTGAATTAATTATTATTTTGTAGGCGCGTTGTTTCATGGAAAAAGACGTCATTTTAAGACGCCAATTCCTGTATATATGGTAGGCTAAGGCTTTCCTCTCCTTGTATATATTTTATGGCCTATAAATGACATATTCATTGCCATACTTGTTTCATTCCAAAACAAAATATACCTTAGCAAAGATGGGTAAGGTCAATGTTACCGGAGAGATTGTTAATGAGCTTCTTCAAGCTCAAGCTCACATTTGGATCCACATTTTCAGCTTCATAAATTCCATGTCTCTACAGTGTGCTATTGATTTAGGCATCCCAGATATCATTCGAAACCAAGGCAAGCCGATGATCATCACCGACGCTCAATGCTACCAAGGCATGCAACATCTACCGGTGGATGTTGCAGGGGACACAGGAAATCTGGGGAAGACCATTGCTAATGCATTTCCACGTTTGCAGTTTTACTAAAGGTTTCTTTTACTAATTCTTTTGTCGTCTCTTTTCTTGTTTATGCTTTTTTTTTGACTAAGTGAAGGGTTCGTGTTGATTAAACAGTGGATATTAGACGATTGGAGTGACGATGAATGTGTGAAGATTCTGAAGCGATGTAAAGAGGCAAAGAGGAAGGGATGATAATAGATATGGTAGTAACGAAGAATAAGAAAGCGAATGAAGAAGGGTTGGACTTTATGGAAACGCGGCTCAGCTCTTCA